CGAGCAAGATATGAATTAAAACGGCCATGACCGGTGTAAAATTGTATAGAATGATGAGTAACTTCAATCCAAGTGTTCTTCAAAAATTTCAATATATCAGGAAAAAACTGTTTCGTAACTGAGGTGTTGGCATCCCAACTATGCTGCCACTCCACAAGCAAATCGTTCCAAAGAACCTCTTTCAGCATTTTTGTTGAAATCATATTGTAACTGATAGAGATGTTCTGATCAGCCGCCGCCATTTTAGCAAGTTGATCCGCCCGATCATTGCCGTAGTCATTACAATGTGATCTCGTCCAATTAAAATAATACTCATTATCAGACTCAATCAACAGTCTTTGAATACTAAAGACCAGAGGATGAACAGACTTCCTCCGAATCGTAGAGAGAGAAGATAGTGAATCGGTAATGATTGCAATTTTGGCATTATTGAGAGCCCGTTCACACCACTCGATTGCCTGTAAAATAGCATATAACTCTGCTTGAAAAATGGGGTCTACTGTATATTACCGATTATGATTTGAACACACTTCAACCAACATGAAAATACAAATCAAGAGATATTCCATATTCAGACATTAGAGAGGTTGCGGCCGACGTTTTCATCGCGAAATCGTGTACGTCGGACGTTCAGCGCCGCCTTCCTGTAAGTCTAGAAGTTTGACAATTGCATTTGGAACGTCAGTGGAATCACGCTCGACGTACCAAACCCCATTGTCAAACTTCTAGGCTTACAGGAAGGCGGCGCTGAACGTCCGACGTACACGATTTCGCGATGAAAACGTCGGCCGCAACCTCTCTATTAACATTCTAGATCATAAAGAAATGGACTATAGCCCATTGTTTGCTCCAAAGCTCGAGAATCGTAGAGATGACAACTTCAGTAATAAAAGACTCGATTCGTAGTACAAAATTTATAAAAGCCACTGAAAAGCAAAGATTTTTAGAGGACGAGGAAGAAAATATTTCTAAAGAAGAGCCAAATCAGATTGAATGTCAACAAGAAACTTTATACGAATTGCAATAAAGAAATTTCTGAGGAATACTCTAGTAATTCACCACACCATTAATTTCTAAGAGAGAATTCAGAAAATTAGGAACGATTTGGAAGAACTGGAAAAGTTTCTTTTGAAAATTGAATCATCCACGAGCCAAGAAATCTTCAAAAATATGATGCTACAAGATAACGAATAGAAAAATTTTAAATATTTTGAATGAAAGTGATAGACACATGAAGAATTTTCCCTGCAGATTAAAAGTTCGAATCTTTCATAGGTTGATTATGTATCCATCAATTATACTATTTTACTTTTGGCTTTGAATTATTTCCCAAACAGTTTTATAATTCGTTATAAACAAATAAATAAACATTCAATTAAAAATACAGTGGGTGATCGGTTAACGAACAAATCGGATAACGAACACTTTCGCAAAAGATTTTTATGTTCGGACAACGAACACGTGTTCGGATAACGAACACCACACAGAATAAACACAAAAAGAAGCAAAGTAAAATAATGAATACCGATTGGTCTTCTCTTGTCTTCGGGCAACAATTCGAAATTTTTCTGAGCGCGGGAGACGTTGACATCGACGATCTCCTCGGTATATAGTGATCGGATAGTATTTCTCCGAACTTTGAAACTTTCCCTTGTAATTCCAGCCTTATATTTTTCTTACACAAACAATTTTTTTTAATAGTATTAGCGAGACTGTGAGGCGGACACTCGTTAAGGTTTGTTTCGGTTTTTATTTTCGAAAGGTAAGAGTGGGCAGAATGTGTCTGATGTTACTAGGCAGTATGGTTCGAACAGATCTACAGTATGCCGCAGTTCAGTCTTATCTAAGATACAAGATACAGTTTAATTAAGAAGACTCAAGCAGCTAAAGGAGTAACAAAAATCACATCTGAGGAATAAAGAACATCGAACAGTTCATAATGGAACCTGAAACGGATCTGACAACAGAAGAACGCCAAGAAACTCAGCGAGATGTGTTTTCTTTTGAAAAAGAGGATTAATTAATGCCGAAATCTGCTATTAACCACTTGATGTACGAATTTTTTAAGGAATTTTTAATTAAGCATAAAAAATACTTAAAACTGAAAAAAAAAAACGAAAGAAATGTGTTAATTTTAAAGAAAAAGCTTCAAACTTTATTATCCATTGTTTCGCCTTTCTGCGAAATTTGACACTGATGAGTCATTGTTTACACAGCTGGATGACCTTGAGAACATCTGGTGTTGGATTTCCCGGAACATTCTCATAGACGTCTCGGGAAGACAAGGGTTTAAAGTAGGGTGAATACTAGCTGGCGGTATATTTTTAAATATTTTAAAATAATTAAAATTTTAAATTTGATTAAAAAAAATTGCATTAAAAAACAATTAAGCGTTAATCGCGCGTCATTAAAGGTAAATTAAAACCGCTATAAAATTTTTTCCTGCGGGAAAAAATTTTTGAAAAAATTTGGAGACAAAAAAACATTCTAAAAATCCAAAAAAAAAAAAAAAAAAATTGGAGGACCGAAAGGATCGCATTTTTCTGTAACGCTATGTAACTTGCCCGAGTTATCTCGGGTCCGGGCGTTATATCTTTTGAAGAAGTGGGATGATGTCAAACAACGGTCTTAGAATGGCATCCAAACCGGGTTGAAATTAAATTGACATTTATAGAAGGTATACCTTATTCAGTATCAACAGTAAATGATCATTTCTGATTACAATAGAAGTTCGTTAATCCGATATCAGTGACAAGAATGGTACCGGATTATTTAAAATGACAGATAACTGGAAGTTCTTCTATTTTCGCAAAATTCATACAATTTAGAAATGCATCTTTTCAAATTTGAAAATGTCTTCATGAAAAAAGTAATTTGATTTATCCATATTTAAAGTTGTTAAAAAAATTTTTTTCTTGCCTTGTGGACAAGAAGACCTTTTTAGCAAGCCCATTGTTGGTTCAGCCAGTACAACAATGGAGTTTCCGAGTGGTGTGGACCGGGCCACCTTCCTCGAAGTAAAGTAGAATTCCTCAAAATATAGCCCAAATTATTTTAAAGTGTCCCAAAAAGTCACCCAAATGTAATAGCGTAGATTAGGTACTTCGATCTAAACGAACGAGATAACACAGTTCAGACAGAATTTTGGAATTTCGAAGTAGACATCTTTCCAATGTGTAAACAGTTACGAGTTAACGGAATTTCGAACTATTAATGAGGATTTTCTGTATATCTTTTGTTTATAGTATCGATAGTATAAAAGCAAGTAATTTAAATTTTGAATACTCACATTATTTTTAATATAAATGATTAGAATAGTTTTTTTTAGTCTCTACAGGAAATAATGTAACTTTTGTAAAATATTGGGAATATGTACACCGCCTTTTACCATGTATCTTCAGCTGTACGTAAAGTAACTTTCTATCATTTCTTATGAAATATTCAAAAACCAACCCAAATTTTAATGAAATATTAATACATAGGTTATCGTTCACTGTATTTTCTAACAATTGTAACAATAGTCAATATTACTGCAATAAGGCAATTGTTGTACGAAGTAGCATTGTAAAAATGAATCAAGTTTAATATTTTTTTTCTTAAAAATAAATGCACAATATCATTACGTATATAAATACAATAAATGTACAATTGTGAAATGTTTAGGAAGAATTTTGAAAGTAGAGATAGGATTTTATTTTTAAAAAATTATAACAACATAAAATATTTATTAAGTCCAACCCCATTCGAACACGACACGTGACTACGTCTATCTCACCACTCCATTTACCTTTAATCATCAAAATTTAACAGCACGAATGCCTTTAATACCCGAACATTCGCGCAGAATTTTAAAAATTTTCGACAAAAGGTACAGGAGTTATCGAGCTTCGAAATGGGTGAACAAAATCGTTCTCCCCACACACGAACATCCATACGTACTGAAAAATCCTAACTTTTTTGCATTTCTCGACATTTTAAGGTCCTCGAGAACGAAAATGTAAACAATGTTGAAGGGAGTCATTTTTGTTTGTTAAGTTATGGCAACGCAATATTTAGGCAATCTACCTAAGGGGTTGCCTTCCTGGAGGTCTTTTTAAAGGTAACTGGCCCCTATTCAGACGTTATAGACGTGGAGAAAACCTGGAAAACTCCACGCGGCCATCCATCCTGGCGAGGCGCGAATCCACGACCGAACTCCTAGTGTTTAAAGAACAGAACTGCTTGGCTGCTTGGGCCCGGGAGTCACTTTTAACCGATCGCCATCGTTTCCCTCTGTTATACGTGTGTATAATAATACTAGCAGACCCCGCCACGCCTTGTTGTGGCTCAAAATGTATCTATTATAAATGTATAACACTTCCCCAGTGGGGGAAAATTTTTCGAAAAATTTTTTCTTAGTGTACATTCTGTTGACGTACCCTATTAAAACGCAATCAAAAACGCAAGAAACCGCATCTAAAATAGTATAATAGAAGCCAAGTTTTTCAGAGTAAGCCTTAATCCTGTCTCTTTCCCCCGCGGGGAGAATATCAAAAAATTCCTTCTTAGTGTACATTCTGTTGACGTATCCTATTAAAACGCAATCAAAAACGAAAAAAACTGCATCTAAAATGGTATAAATAGAAGCAGAGTTCTTTACGGTAACCTTTTCCGTAAGGCTTACCGTAAAGAACTGTCCATCCCCCATGTTTAACGGAATAATATATAGCCTNAAAAAACTGCATCTAAAATGGTATAAATAGAAGCAGAGTTCTTTACGGTAACCTTTTCCGTAAGGCTTACCGTAAAGAACTGTCCATCCCCCATGTTTAATGGAATAATATATAGCCTATGTCCACCCTGAAGTTCCATTCTAAATATTGGTGAAATAATTTTTGAAATCGGATGAGTAGTTTCGGAGATTACCTGCTGCATACAAACTAACATACATACATACAAACATTACCTCTTTATAATATTAGTATTAATTAAAATGGTAATTAATTAAACAACCGGAAAAGTAACATGCAAAATGTATATTTTTAGTTTAATATAAATTTTATCAAGTAATACATTTAATCGTCATCAGGAATAAGTTCTTTCATTGATTTAAAAGACAATAAAATAATATGTCTCTGATACTCTTTACTTTTCTTGAAAAGGTCATCTGTTCCAAATAATTTGTCCAAAAATCCTACGGATCCAAAATTATTCCATATCCTTAGGATACGTTAAAAATAAAATAAAACGCATTAGTTATTTTAAATAAACCGGTAAAATCAAGTTATAGACGTATATATTTACCTCTTATGATGAAAATCATGATACTCTGGTGAATGTGGAAAAAACGGTAAATGATAACCTATATGATCTAAAACGTTATACGAAGTTCCTATGGCGATCCAGATCCACAGATTGATCGGATGAGCTCCAAATATAAAGGAAGGTATGTAGAAGGGTATGACATTCATAAATATATGTTCCACTGGATGCACGTAGACAGCCGTTATAGCAATTGGTACATCCCATAAGTGATGAGTTTTGTGAATATGCTTGTAAATAGCGCGAGTATGAAGAGTCCTGATGAAAAATGGTAATTAATTTTAAATTAAATACAATTAAATTATATTATTATATTAAATTATATATTTATAGCAACCTATGAACGATGTAAACTATTATTTCTGACAGGATTGCATGAAGGAAGAAGTGAATAATTATAAAGAAAATGGAAGGAGCTTCATATTTCAGACCACGGAATTCCCAAAATTTCCATAAATGGTAAATAAGAATGACACACGGGATGGCTACAAATGTCTGATTGAAAAGAACTCTTCTTATAACTGCAATTGCATCTGCAACACGTATCTAAAAACATTTAGAGATTATAATTAAATTTATACACAAGAATTGGAGCGGATGAAGAGTAATATTAATCTAGGACACCTGTGGTATTATACTATTATATTAATAATACATAAAAAAGTGTATTACTTACTGGATATTTTTTAAAGTCGAGTTTCTGTATTTTATATTTGTGTAAAAATTCTGGTTTTCCTGTTAAATCAATCAATGTGAAGGGAAGACAAACAGTCCAGTATATCGAGATTCTCAAACACACGGGAACTAAAAGAATATATATATGTATGTATGTAATGTTAAACAATAACTATATAAGTTATATCTATTTAATATTAACTTACTGATGATGTATAAAAATCTAGGATCTCCCTCACACCAATGGTATATCGAATGCCACAATGAGTTGATATGATAATACATGAGTGCTTCGCTACAGCAATAAATAAATAAATAAATTCTTATCAGTTATTAAGATCTTAATACCCCTTTAGAATAGTAACTGGTCGGTACTGCACGACTCTATCCCCTGTAATTACCGTTACAGTAGACTCCCCCTATGACGCGGTAGATACGTTCCACGTTATACGAATTTCGCGTTGTAGGAATCTGCGTTATAGGAACCCGCGTTATAGGAGGGTCTACTGTATTTATTTTTTATTCGCAAGACTTACTTGAAAATAGATCTGTAGAAAATCACAAAGTTTTACAAAGAAGAACACCACGATCGTCGCTCTGTACATATTAAAAATGTTTATTATTAATTAATTTATTTATTTTATAAGTTATATTCACATAAATAAATCAACAAGATAATTACTTAGTACAGTATAAAAATTTTAAGAAAGTTTAAATACTACTTGAAAGCGCGCAACGATTGGGAGGTGGGGGAAAAGTTTGTAGTTGAACTGCATTCTAATTTCACACCCGCCTCTACTGTAATCAATTAATTTGCAAGAGGTATCTCACGTTTAATGTATTGTTCTATTCTCTGAATATACAAAACCGACATTTTGCCAGCAAATAAGTTTATTATTGGCAAGCATTTTCGATTTAATTTTTACTATTTTCATGTATTTTACCATTGGAATAGTGTACGTGTCTTTTGTATTCTAAATATCTTCTAAGAAATATTTAATTATATTATAAATTTTGTTTGAGTGCCAAAAATTTGTAGTTAGGCAACTGTCTGAAGCTAATTATGTAAATGAAAAATCCTGTTTATATAATTTATTAAACATTTTGATCTCCTAAAGCAATCAATTATCTTGTTTATCAATTACGTATTTTTTTCCAGTGAAACATGAAATTTTACAAAAAACAACATTTCTAGTTTATTATTACAAGGAAATCTTGAAATTCCAACTTCAAGGACTTACTTTTGGAGTTTCCCTATTGTTTACAACTTGCCTAATCTTTTCTCTGAGCTTTCTGTATTTTATAAAAGTTATTATAAACATTCCATTGATTAATGTGGTGGGTGAAAAGTAACTAGGTATTGAAAAACTGCTGTAATTTTTTTAAAACATAACGCAATAATAATAAAATTTATGTGCGCACTTACATCTATCAATGCAATTTTATATTTGTTGCATCGATGGTGTTAGCAGTGACCGAGAAGGGCTGCACGCGCAGTGGAATAAAAGATGACGACTTCTCGTGTGTTGAAGAGCGAGCGCAGATTGTTGTACGCTATGGGATGTTCAATGGTTGCCGTGCAAAGACGATGACGTATAGTGAAGGGACATCGTGTCACAATCAATCTAGAAACAATATCATTCGAAGCTGATGACTACAGGCTGGGTTGCTGTCCATCTACATCACGATCCCCAGTCATTTGAAGAAGTTGGTAGAACTCCGTTGTATTTTCAGGTGTTCATCATTATTTTCATTTAATAATGTACAATTCAGGCAATTTTCATTTTCCGTACTCATAAAACTACAAGTATTTACCCTTTTTGGAAAGCCTACAAACCTGTATAGTAGGCTTGTATATAGTATGCAAGCCTACTATATACGTTTCGTGCATACTAAAAGTGAATAAATGAAATAGGTTTTTGTCAAGATTATTTTAAGATATTACGGCCTTTAATTTGAAATTATTGATCTAAATTTGGTTGTAATAATAAATAATGCATTGGAAATATTAACGTAACTTTAAGAGTTGCGTAACTTTCCAGGCAAGAAAACTTAAATTGCGTGTGGTGCCATCTGTTATGATAGGTTATTAAAAATCTTTTTATGTTATAAAATGAGTAAAAAGTTTAATTTTGAGGATAGCGACGAGTCTTATAGGAAAAAAAGAAACATTTTAAATTGTAATAACGAGTAAAATCTTTAAGTCCGACCCATTCGAGATACACGATCTCTCTATCTTCCTACCCCAGTGGATAAAACAATTGGTAACCTGAAACAACCTACGATCGTGGGTTGTTCCATGTTAAATTTTTCGGGTTTTCTTCACATGCTCAACACTTAAATACGCAGACCAGATGACGAAGTAGCAAAGACGGTAGTTTATGGCTCTGGGGGATCCGAGATCGAATCTGAACGGATCGAGAAATCGTAGGAATTTTACGAGGAATGGCCTTTCCAGATATTCTGGGCTCTCCATTGTGGGCCTGACCAAAATCATAGTAGGCTCGCTAAAAAGAGGGCCCATAGGGCAGAAAGAGTTAAAAAAACACTTAAATACGACACAATTTTCGTAGAAAGGCCTGGCAAATCTTGCGTTGCCTTATTTAATTCCGCAAAAAAAATTTGGTGAAACCATCTTGAATAGTAAAGCTCATTGAAAATGCCTCACTCAGACGGGCTGGCCACGTGGAGTTTTTTGGGATTTTTCCACGTCTCTAACGCCTAAATAGGGGCCAGTTTCCCTTAAAAACACTTCCCAGAAGGCATTTTTTCTAGTCAGATCGCCCAAGTGTTGCGTTGCCATAACTTAACAAACAAACAAACTCTTTCCGTAAGGAAGAAGAAATTGATCTAAAGTTGATTGTCTTACTCTTTTAATCAAAATTTTTCTCAAATGCGATAGCGCATTGTCGTTTTCTATTGCCACTTTGACTTTTTTCTTTCTTTGATGCCATATTGATTAAATATATAAATCACAAAACTGAAAAAAGAAGTATAGCACAAACACTCGGAAAAGCAATGCCTTTTGTATTTGTAAATGTGGTGGGTGAAAAGTAACTAGGCATTGAAAAACTGCTGTAATTTTTAAAAAGTTATACAAGCGCATGCCTAACACCAACTAAAATTTGACACAAAATACCGTTACGTTCGTTATCCGAATTTTGTTCGTTATCCGAGACAAAATTTTTGCAAAATAAAAGTTCGTTAACCAGGACGTTCGTTAATCGGGGTTCCACTGTAATTAATTATATATAATGGCGTAAAAGTAATCCGATGGTTGTTTGGCTTTACAAATTCATCGGGTTTCGTGAGGTTTGTTTACGTAATTCGAAAAATTTTTCAATGTTAAATGATATAAACTATGCTTTAAGCGTATGTGTATCAGGTAGCTGCTTCATCAATTCAAGGCTATCAACATTTTTTATATCAATAACAAAAAAAAAAACCTAAACAAGGTTAACAAGAAATTTAAATTTTTTATGAAATTTTTACCTAAATAGTAAAAATAAATGAAGATATCTTCTACTATAGAAAATAATACTTGCAGAAAAGAAGTCTTTTTCTTCTAATAAAATTTACACCCTATGATCACTAAAGAGGGCCCTTTCTTTCATACAGATCCGCAAGGGGGCATAATGACGAAGAACAAGGCCCGAACAGACCGACCAAAAAAAATTCCTAGTGTTGATCGCCCTTCATGTCTAAGATTGATAAGGATCGCGGGTTCGACCATCACCACGTGGAGTTTACTGTGTTTTCTTCACGTTTGTAACATCTAAATCAAATTAGAAAGACCTCCCTAGTGTCGCGTTGCCATAAACAAATAAACCAAGCTGATAAAAATAAACAAAGTAACAAAACAGTATTAATTAAACACAAAGACTTACCGTTACGACTTAGCAATTATGAACGACAAAGAATGTACTGTACTTCACACTTTAATGTCGATAAAGCGACTAACACGTACGAACACGGTAATAAGATATATTTAATTCCTATACAATATGTTTGATAGAAGTTAGGTATTTACTTTAATTCCTATCTCGTGTTCATTGATTGGCGCTAATTGTTTCAAAATCATAGACAGTAGCCAATCACAGAACTTCTAAAAAAATTTTTTTTTTCTAATACTGAAATGATAAACAAATAATAATTTTACAAACTGGTTATAAACCACTACTCAAAATAAAAATATTAATATTAATTATACGATATAAAACTTTATACGGTGTAATGTCAACACAACTAGACAGCCTTGATCAAGCTGGTTGCAAAAGCGAAAAAATTTCTTTTATAAAATTAAATCGTCATTTAATTATATTATGCCAATTTCTTTGTTAATGTACGGTTTATTTTATTTTATTTTTATTTTTCCGCGATCAGTTTTAGTTTAATATTACTGAGGCCCCAGAGAGCACTAAGAGGCCAGAACGTGTAAAGTGAGAAGTGTGTTTGTCCAATGAGGGATCATGATGCATTTGAACTAGTCTCTTGTGAGGGCTCATAAGTTTTACGTGATTATTGGAGTCTGTACTTGTTATTTAAACTTAAGGCCGAAAGGTGTGTATGTATATTAGCTGTTAGTAATTGTTAGGGTTAAATTTTTATTTATAAGTTTATTTGGATAGTTGGCGAAGGAAGGGAGATAGCCCAAGTGAGCCAGACCCCAACCAGCAACTAATTAGATCTAAGATTTTGGAAGAGTACTAATTTAACTTAGAATGGCCAGAGCTGGAGGATGCATGAGATAAGACAAGACAAGACAAGATAAATAAAGGAAGATAGGATAGTTAGTGCCTAACATAGCCTAACCTAATTTTTCTGACTTGTCCAGAGCCACTATGGAAAAGAAAGTAGCAATGGTAGAGCCATAGATGGTCTAGTCCAACGAATTCAAAATAAATATTAAAATTTTTGTAATGGGAGACTAGATTGGTGAGCAAGTCAACAATCCAGTTTATTGCCTACTGGGAGGACTTTAGAGGGGAACTTGAGACCCCATTTGGGATTAAAGATGTGAAGGAAACCCAGTAAAACTTCACAAGTCAAGCTAGGCCAAAAGGCCAGACAGAACAATACCAAAATGAATAGTGATTTTCATGGGAAAACCAAATATGGTAGGTGTTGGACAGGACCACCGTGAAGGATAAAGTTTGGAAGTGATTTTTTAGAGTTGAGATTTAAGAGTGGCTAACAATTGACGAGAAGGTTGAAATTAGAGTGAAGCAAGTTATACCTGGCTGAGGATTGGAGAAGGAATCCTACAGGGCCAGATGTAGAGGAAGAGTGACACACAAAAAGGGCAGGACGAAAGCAGCAGGGATAGGTGCAGCGGTCTTCTAACGCCACGCCAAAGAGGCGCCCACAGGTGGTGGAAGGCCACGGGAGGCAAGATGGAAGCCAGTTGCCGACTGCCGACGGCAACCCCGGAGCAGAACCGCCGCTGCCGATCTACCGAGAAATACCCGTACCGGGATCTAGACCACTATCCGGAAAAAAGAAAGGGAGTGCCTAACAGTCCAGGGGGTCCACCCAATTCAGGCAACAACCCCGAAGAAGCAGGACGAGCGAGTCCAGTGCACGAACTTCGCACTTAACGCCCGTCCAGAAAGAAGGCGAAGTACCTGGTTGTCCGTTTACGCTAGTAGAAGGGGCGGAAGGCGGCAGAGAGAAGTCCGTCGCTAGCCTACAGGGAAAGCCTTTCCGATGTTGTGAAGAAGCCCGAAATAATAAGGCATTAAGAAAAGCCTAGCTGCCCCGAAACTATAATGTACAGTACAGTACATTATGTGTGTTGTGTTCATCTATAGAAATTAACGTAGCATTAGTTGGACTGGAGACAAGTATTTCTTAGAACTGATTGTTTATCTTTGTTATCTCATTATATTTCATCATTTTCTTCACAATATTATAGGAGAAAGCGTGTTACAAAAATATCATTGACACAACGAAACCAACTCTTAAAAAATAATATAAACAGTTTCAAAAAAACAAAATGAAACAGCTTGTAAGGCAATTTATAATCGTACAGTACAATTGTTAAGATACTTTATTAATAAGAAATCTAGTAGTACAGATAAAATACAGTATACGTCTTGTACCCTTGAAATAATAGTATGACAATTTGTATACAAAAATTTAGAGGAAAATAATTATATTTAGAAACGAAACAACTATTAGGGTAAGAATGCAAAGTACAAAGTACTCCTCATCTCATATTTTGCTAAACAGTAGTCACATATGTAAGGACGAATTTCTACGTTGTAGTACGCATGGTGCCATCACTATTGGGTGGAAGAACGTTAGAGGTTTGTCGTGATACAAAATCAAAACAGAACAACAGATGACCCCTCCCCTACGATGCTGTCTGGGTTGATTATTTGTTTTAATAGTCAAGCATTCGCACCTCAGACTTACACAGCCTTCGTCAATGTCACCCAAACATCCAGGACAGACATTTTCCCTTTATACAATCTGCAAAGTTAGTGTTTATTTCCTGACTCGCACATTCAATATTTCCTTTCATTTAGATCGGAGAATATCTTTCCTGTGATGTCCTTAATGTCATCATTCATCGTCTTTGTAGGCCTTCCTCCTGGATCTTGCCCAGAGTGACTATCCTTTCCAAGCCATCATCAGTCCTGACTCTGCCCAAAGTAGTACCTCAAATGCACATTAGCACGTCGAAGCTTTATTTGATTCAGGGCTTAACACTGTAGTATACTGTACACAGTAAAATTACAATTTAGTTTTAAAGAATAATAAGCTCGATATAGCGATCACCCGATTTAGCGAGCCATTTCCTCGCTATTCTTTATACGTATAATGAACTTCTGATGTAGTAAATGAACTAGCTTATTTCTTTGAGAGTTCACTGTATCGAGAATGTACTATAATTGGAAAGTATTCAAATATTCATTACTTTTCTATTAAATATTTAAGAATCATCCGAAGAGTCCAATTAATTATTACGCGAGATAGGTATTGTTCTCTTTTCAGTTCTTTGAGCTTTTACTTATTTACTGCGTACAGAATTCAAACGGTACCGGATTAACCGGATTATCCCATTCATTCCGGATAATCAAGAGTCTATTGTTATTGAAAACTGGATTGCATTGATTTGATAAGACAACGCAGCCCACTGGGCGATCTGCCAAGGAATACTTTATGAGAAACTGGCCCTTATTTGGGTGTTAAAGTTGCAATTAGTCTAACTAGTTCAATAACCGAGCCCATCAGTGACTTAATGGATAAAAACCACCGAACAATTGTAGTTGGTTGTGTGTTTTTTCGCCTCCCTAACGGGCTGGCCACGTGGTGTTTTCTTCCCGTTTGTAGCACGTAAATAGGGGCCAGTTTCCTTTAAAATATCCTTCCGGGAGGCATCTTTCCTCGTCAAGATAGCCTCCAATTACTTTAGATAATGGTAATTTCGTCTCAAGTTAATTATGAAGTAAGTTGGAGGAGAAATCTCTAGCAGCAATGTAGCTTTAAATCAGGAAGACATCTCCGTAAGCATTCGTATCAGCTAGTTAATTAGAATTTCAAATGAACTTAATCTACATCGAACGTCATTGGCCTAAATTAAGGAACGTGTAGTTCTAAATTGAGATATTTATTTACTTTAATTATTGACGGGAAGCGAGATTCAATACGAAGAATATTCTGGTGTGAGGATTATACGATGTATTGTATCTGTACAACTGTGAGGCCCATTAATTGTCATCACCAGTAGCCTTAAAAAGAGTTACGCACTGAAATATACGAGTGAGGCCCTAACTTATAGCGTGAGGCCTCGTATCCGTTCCGAGGCCTGACTCATAAAAGGTATTTATCTATCACATCTGTATTTCGAGAACATTGTTTAACCGCATAGCCACATATTAAACAATATCAAAATGTGTGATATATAATTATTTAATGCAAATAATACTAATTAATCGGGGGCGTAACATATTTTTGGCCCTCTCAAATTTTTTAAAATTTATTTATAAACTTTTCAGCACAAGATGGAGCCACAACTAATTAATATAAATTCAAAATTATTTTTGTATTATTATAATTTTTTTTTACCTTTTTAAATTTATAAATTTTACAAGTAAAAAAAAGTAACATAAAAAAATTATTTTAATGTAAAAAATAAAATAAATATAATTTAAAGGATCAATGTTAATGCATTTGATAATAACCCTGATACAATGAGTCATATAATTGTTTCTGTCGAATCCACATTTCCTCTAGTCTACTCGAACGTGGGAATGAACAGCAGACAGGACGATATATTTAGAATTACTCTCATTAACCACGAATCCAATAATATATACAATTCCTCCCTCCCTCCACAAATTCTCACTAAAACCTCTTCCACTTGTATAAATTTATTTAATCAATTCTACCGAAAAACACAAAGAAAACACTCGTTAAACAATTAAACTTTTCTGTTTTGCTTAAAAAAATAAAAAATAAAAACTGTTTTACTTAATTAATATCATTAATAACATGCCACGTGTGCTGGAAAGTTATGTACTGTACTATTGTACAGACTCGTGTTCTGTTTATAATAAGATAAATGTAAACAGACGGACAAACAGACAGATTTTTAAGTATTTAAATAATGCATCTATTAGCCAACATATACTCTTCTTCATTGTTTAAATACTCTCTGTTTGTCTGTCTGTTTCCGTTTATCTATACAATAGTGCATATAAACAGAACATAACTTGTACGTAGCATAATATTAATTAAATTACTTAAAATATTCGCATTTAATTAGACAGACAGACAGACTGACTGATAGATATAATAATTCTACATAAGTATTTAAATAATTATTTAATTTACATCAAAGCGAGTGACGTGTAAGTTTAAAATGGTGTTTATTTTTTAAAATAATTTTCTTACGCGGTTTAAATATAATTAATTAATTAATTATTACAATAAATAACAATTAAGGAATTGTTTTAAACATCATTAAGGAATTTTTGATTCCTTAATAACGAGAGAATCGGTTAAGGATTGAAGACATTTTCGGGTCTATTGTTAAATATTTTATAATATACAGTCGACCCCCCTATAACACTGTTGATTATTCCGTTTTATATGAATTCCATGTTGTACGAGTCACTTAGATTTTATAAATATGTGTGCCGTTCTGTGCCCGGCTCATGTATTTGTAAAATCTAAGTGACTCGTACAACATGGAATTCATATAAAACGGAATAATCTACAGTGTTATAGGGGAGGTCGACTTGTAGTATTTTAGAATTCTGGTGGACGGTTTTGATAATTAAGGACGACGACGATAAAAAAAATAATAAAGAAAACGTAAATAAATGACCTTCTATACGCCCAATATGCATGAAACATCAGCTAAATTGTTCGGTGTAGAAACAATATTCGCTTATAAAAAAAGAATGAATTCGCCTAAAGAAATAAAAAGAGGCGTCACGGAAATAACTGAAATATATAAATTTATAATTACAATAAAATAAATAAATAAATATGTCGAATTTTTCGTTCGTTCTCGTGATTACACTCCATTTATTTTGGTTGTAAGCGAAGATTGCTTGAAATTTTCGATTAAAAAGAAAAAAAAATATAGTAAATTTTAACGACAGAATACGGAATTTCTTCTGTATATTTCGTGAAATTCTTTTGTTATTTCGCATTTCGCAAAGAGGATGATATATAAAAAAATAATAACCTTGGAAAATCCGAATCAAAGAGTGTGTGTTTGCATCGTCTCTACATCCTCTCATCAATTTTTGTGGAGAATTTAAATTTCGATCGGGATTTATATTTTTCGTATTCAAAATGTCGAAAAATTTCTCGTAATTATAGATTTAATGCATTAAAATTGCTAAAATTGTAGCGAAGAAAAGTTGTTCTTCTACGCTGAAATTATGCAGAGATGGAAGAATGCCCTCCCTCCCTCTCATTACAGATGAATAATGAAGATTTTTACGTGAAATTTTCAGAAAAAAAAATGTTAATTTGTCCTATAAATTAACATTTCGTAAAAATAACAATAAAAATTAACCTTAAAAAATCGATACGAAAGAGGAAAAATCTCCGCATCCTCCCATCAATTTTGTGGATAATTTTAAACTTTTATCAATAATTTCGAGTTAGAATTTATATTTTATGCATCCAGAATATTATAATTTCTCAAAATATCGATTTAAAATGCCTAAAATTGTAAGAAAAAATGATTTTTCTCAGCTGAAATTACGCAAAGATTGGAAGAATGTTTCTCATAATACGCGATTAACGAGGAAAAGGAAGAGGCCCGATTCGAAATTTAATAAAGCCTCGAGCCTCCTTTTTATGCGCCAATAAATGATAATGAAAAATTAAACTAAGATACAGAAAAAAAAAACCACGTGCAATGACCCGCTATCAACTACAGTTTCCGGTGTCACACGCTTCTTACAAAGAACAATTAATGTCGCTGACGATGGCGTCATCGATTTGACTCGCACCAAACCCGTTGTAAGGAAATAACTTTTTAAATTAAATAATCTCAAAGGAAAATTTTAATTGGGAGTCATCAACCGAAAGTCGAGTGATACAACGAAAACAAATTAAAGCGTCTCAAGGTTTTCGCACTAGATAAATTGCCGAGTTTTTATCTTAAATTATCAATTTATTAATAACTAAATTTATACGAATTAATTAAAAATAGGTAAAGACGAGATTGGAGACGGATGGGGAAGAAACGTAAAAAAAAAAACAGAAAAAAAAATTAAAAATGGAGATGAATTAATTATTTCTCCAACATCCCGCTAGGTGAGCGCCAGTCGTATGGCGTCATCTGAGCACGTGTTGTTAGGTTTCATTCAGTCGTCTGTAGTTTAGGCTTAAGGTGAGTCGTTTCGTATTTAAAAATCCATTAAATGCTTAAAATCGTATTGTAAATTTGCATATTTAATATTTAAATCGATTTTAATTATTTATAAACACGAATATGCGTTATTTATGTATTATATTTTTAACCAATAGAAAAAAGGGATTAAAGGGCAACTTCGGTATATATTTTTTTCGTTTTTTTTTAAATTTAAAATTATTNTAATTGAAATACTTTTAGTCAAAGTTTAATTTGCAGATGTAAAATTTAAACAAATCCCTTTATTTTGCAGTAAATTATGCTTTAGAGATATATAATAAATACAGTACATTGAAATATTGAGTTCTAAATGAGTTATAGTATTAAAATAAAATTTAACTACTTGGATCAAAAGATTTTATGGTTTCAATACTTTTTAACCTTAAGGAATTGTTTTTGTATATCATATAATCAAATTTCAACATAATTTTAACAATTACATATATATACCATTTAAAACAATAGTAACTATATGTTGTTGAATGAATTATTTTTTAAATTTTAAAATGAAGTAAAATATATGTACAAATTTTTAAATAAGTTATATATTATACAAAGTAAGTTTAAAATTAAAATTATGAAGCACATTTTCAAACAAGGGGGGAAAAAAGAGAACTTTTAATAGAAATTACATATAAATTGTTAAAGAGCAGTCTTTGAATAAATAAATTAAAAAAAATCACATTAAATCTAATAAAGGTAAATTAACAAGGTTTGATTGTATTTTTCCTTTAATTAATTATATTAGATACAGTGTTTGGAAATACAGATTTATTCATTTATCATTCAATTGCTTAAATAAAACATTTATTTTCAAAAGCACAATCTTTAAGAGCCATAAAAGTTTATTTCTGATAAATAGTTAATCTCAAAAATTCATGTAATAACAACATTTTGTAATAAAATCAATAATATTTTTTAACATTTTACCATAAGAACTTTGGGAAAATTTCCATATGTTTTCAAGGTCAGTGAATGAAAATATTTAAGTTAGAATTAAAAGTTTTCTCAAATTGTTTAAAAAAATTATTTGAAATTTTGTGCTGAATTCAAGAGACTTGTTTTTCACTTTGTAATATGTTTTTAACATTATAACTATAATAAGAAAATCATAACAACAGGGACTAATTTAAAATTAATACAGTTCCAATTAGATATGAAGCTAAGTAAAGTTTATTATATTAATTACAGTCAAACCTCGGTTTTTGAACATAATTCATTCCTAAGTTGTTCTAAACTTTTAGAAAAACAAATTTTCCCATAAGAAACAATATAAAATGAATTATTCTGTTCTTGACCACCAAAATAAAGCCATTTTTTAATTGTTTTTACATGTATTTCATACATAAAAATGCCTACAAATGCAATGTATTATTATATATAGTATAATATAANTTATAAATTTAATTTTCGGTAATAATATAAATATTTCATTAATTTTAACGTTAATTCAAACAGGTGGGCCACATTTGAATTTTAAAAAATAAGCGACACCCATGCCACTTATATTTTTAAATGGGTGCCGCTTAATTTATTAAATTCTGCTTTAAAAAAAATGTATTTAATCATTTAAAATGAACGTTTAAAAATCATTTAAATGTTTAAAAATATTTTAAAACACTTTAATCCGTTTTATAATGGCTTAGTGCCGAAAATCATTAAGTAAAAATGTATGTCATTAAGTAATTATTGCGCGAAATTTCCATAAAAGTAGGCCAACGCGTTGTAAAAATGTTGAGATTTTTTCCCGATTTAATCCATTAATTAAACGTCAGTTTATCTGTAATAGCCGTTTCGACCCGGCAATCGAATGAACTCGACATTTAATGGAACCTTGGAATTCCGGTAAACGCCCCGAGTTTTGTTTTAATCCTCTAAAAATAGGGATGCTGAACGAAAAATCTATATATACACACGAAATCTCTTAAACGAAATTTGCACGTTGATAATAATGATTAAAAATGTTAATCGAGTCGACGTGATCGCTCCTTTTTTTTTAAATTGCTGACGTCACGAACATCGACACCCGAAAATTTATTGTTGTATTTAAATGTAGGGCCTTTCGAGAGATCGAAAGAGGAGGCCGTGGCCACCTCTCGTCATATGCGAGAAGCTGTAAAGGCCCGTTTAGCTTCCTCTACAGCCAGGAAAATCAATAGAGGCCTGGAGAACAAGTGTTAAAAATTTGCATTGTATTTTTTAAATAATAAAATTAGGCTGAAAGTAATGGTGTTTCCTCCTACATTACACAGTATTTTATGTGTATTGATAATTTTTAACACGTTTTTAAGGCCCGTATAATTATGCAGCTCTCTCACAAATGGCCCTACTGATCCGTGTTAATGGAAGCCGACGACAAAAGAAGATGCTGTAATTAAATCGTGTGATTTACTTTAATTAAAAAATATACACACGCAGAAGGAGAGATTATATTGCGTGCATTAATTTAGTTTCAATTCTGCAATCATTTCCTCCATCTTGAATGTAGGTTAAATCGGTAAAACGGAAAATTCGTGCAGATCATTTACGAAATCGATAGAATTAAATGGTGTAAGTTAAATGATCGGATGAAAATTAAGTGGTAATGATTCATGATAAAAATTAAATTAAAATTTTTTATTACTAAATAATTTAATAAATCGAAATTTATAATGCTTCCTTCTAGTTTATAGTGAACAGTACATGCTATTGTCCATTATAATACAGTATAGTGTCATTTATATTACGGGATATATTAGTGCATGATATCCATAGACTGGCATGAAATTTTTTAAGCCGCATATCCAGTACAGCTCATGAATTCCTTACAAAATTGAAACTGAATTAAGCACGCAATCTCTATCTATAATACTACTTTAATTGAAATCTCTCAATTTTTTAGGCTGCAAATAATGTATACCGATATGCAACTGTGCCATATGTTTACGGATGTCACAGCTCTTGACGTCATTAGATTCGCTGAAGCGTCGCTAATAACGGTGGAAGAAAAACCATTATAGAGGTTTATAATCCAAATCATGCATCCTTTAATATTAATAAAAGTTTTTGAGGATCTTCTGGCCTCAACAAATCATTTATTTATAACGTCGGTAAGATTCTAGCAACTTTACCAGACGTTTATCGGGGCCAGGCATAGCTTAGTAGTGTAAGAGGCCCTCCTCTCCATCAAGTAAGGTATGTAAAAGCAAGAGGCCCTAATTCGTATTCGCAAGAGAAAGTTATTGCAGTACACTTACGTAATTAGCATGCGACCCGTGTGCAACACTAGATATTTAAAACAACACAATAGTGAAAGATACAACAACTGACGTCACACATAAATTACGCTATTGTTTATTTACTTAGTGGGTTAACTTATTTCCAGAATAAATGGCGTTCTCGTGTTTGTTTTTATTAACTGAAGATCGTAAATTATAGTTGCAGAATAAGTCTATATACTAAGTGAAAGCCGTGCAATCTGGAATTTATCGGTTTGTCTATCCTTGAGGATAAAGTAAAGTTTCGCGAGGATTAAATTACTTTCGGTTTTAATATTTCGACTTGAAAATTTATTTAATGCAGCAGTAATTTGACCAGAACTGAATTAATTCTGTTCTGAAAATTACTTTTAACATCCACATACTCGCCACCTGCGTAAACACTAGCCTATACACTAAACACTGTTAAAGTATAATAACCAAACGTATACATATTTAATCACCTTTCATATAGAATATTAAAATTTCTATTATTATAGAGAAATTCGGCAAATTTTTGATGAATAGTTTGGTCGTTGACTCCCGTTTTAATGTCTGGATTCGATTGTGACACGTTTGTTATCACACTTGACACACAAAAATAATATATATTTCTTGTTGAGAATAACAAATAGTCGACGATGTTTATTTCTGGCAGATATCTTATCTTTTGGCAAGAAACTGGATATTGCAATTTTCCGTCTAATTATTTTTCTGATTTGAAATAGAAAAAAAAAATTAGTTCTAGAAAACTTGAAAGTGTTTTAAGTGACTTCTCTGCCAAGAAAGTTTTTATAATAATAAAAATGGAAAATAATAATAGAAAAATAGAAATCAGTTCACTTAAACATTTCTATTTTACTCCATCAAAATTTAAAATCTTTTATTTTTTTAAGCAAAAAAATAACTAAATTTAATTTAAAAGCAGTCAGTCCATCTGTTTATATCACATTCTAGAAATCGGAATGAGTTCACAGAATTGATTTTGCTATTTCTTCCTTGGCCTTGAGATACTTTAACTCGTCTTGCATCCATCGATCTTCTGCCAATGTTGCTTTTCTGATAACTAGAATACCTATAATGAAAGATCTGTTCTCATGCATCTCTCTTATTCTTTACAGTTTAAAATGACATGGTTACGCACGCACAGTGAGCCGCATTTGTCTACCGTAGAAAGTTTGGCAGTTGCGCATCTTATGACATGAAAAATAAAATAATGGGAGAACAGTTAATCGAAGAACCTAGTCCTTATTATACGTATGAATCCAAAGGAATGTTTCGTGCGTCCTTCCAAAAGTTGTATCGCTTCCTGAAGGAAGATGTTCTGTGCGACGTGGAGATCCGAACTGGAAGAAAAGCCATACGGTGCCATAGAGTCGTACTGGCGTGTTGTAGTCCGTACTTTCAAGCCATGTTTACTAATTCTTTGGCTGAAAGTAGGCAGAAAATCATCACCATCAGCGAGATAGATGAAAGTGCCATGGAGTTACTAATAAACTTTGCCTATACGGCTAAAGTTGAATTGAATGTGACCAATGCTCAATCGGTATTACACGCAGCATCCGTGCTCCAACTAGAAGCTCTTATCCAAGCGTGCTGTGAATTCATGCAACTTCACTTGCATCCTACTAACTGCCTCAGCATAAGACAGTTTGCCGAGCAGCATGGACTTATGTCTCTCGCACAACAAGCGGATGCATTTACATGTTTCCACTTCCAAGAAGTTCTAAAGAGCGATGAACTGTTAACTATATCCGCTAACCATTTGCAAGATTTAATTTCTTCGCCTAATCTCTATGTGGAAAATGAAGCACAGGTATGCTTTACTAACATCCCCTTTCTTATATATAGAAATATTAATTCATTTTAAGTTCCATAAACATGTAGGTATGTGAAACTGTCTTCCGGTGGGTGCATCACAATGTCGAAAAGAGGAAAGATTTATTACCCAGTTTATTATCGAAAGTGAAACTTCCACTTTTGACTCAATCGTATTTGAAACGTCACGTCGAACCTCAAGATTTGGTCAGACGGAATCTAGAATGCCGTGATTTATTAGACGAGGCGAGAGATTTTCAACTGTGGCAAGTTTCTCAATTACCTTGTTTGAGGCGACCGTCTAATGAATTAACCAGACCTAGGAAAAGTTATGCAGGTCAGAAGTTTTAATTATTATTGGTAAGACTCGAATATATTCATTTTTTAATCAAAATATAACTTACAGGTACTCTCTTTTGTGTCGGCGGACGAGGTATATCGGGAGAGCCCTTTTCCTCTATAGAATGTTATAACTGGTTTAGAAATTCTTGGTTTAATGTGGTCAGCATGAACACTAAGAGGCGACATGTGGCTTGTATATCTATAGAAGGTAAGATTTTTACTTTAATAATGATGAAGATATTGCTAAAAAAACTGAGAAATAAATTTTAATTATTACAGGAAAGATTTATGCTGTTGGAGGTTGTAATGATAAAGAACATCTCTCCAGTGTTGAAGTGTTTAATCCATTAACAAATAAGTGGAATTTCATTGCTTCTATGTCCACATCAAGGTAGTATTTAGTCCTAAGATACCTCGTGAAGTAAGATTATATGAAAAATTTAAAATATTTCATAATTATTATTCAGGAGAGGATTGGGACTGAGTTGTTTAGGAGGCCCAATTTATGCCGTGGGTGGTTTAGACGATAATTCGTTCTATGCAACGGTAGAAAGATACGATATCAGTTCGGATACCTGGTATACGGTCACTTCTATGAACGAAGCCAGAGGAGGAGTTGCTGTTGCAACTTTAAAGGTAATTTTTGGAGTAACTTAACTTATGTAAATTGTCATTTTTTCATAATATTAAGCAGATTTTTTAATTCATTGCAATATAAAATATTGCATTAAAATCTGTTTATTTTATCATAATTTGGCTATAATATAACTAAATGAAGGTGACCTAATTGCTTATCTTTAGACCAAATTACTTGATTTCATTAATTAGAGTTTAGCAAAATTATAGACCAAAAAATCCAGCATTTAGATATTTAATTAGATCATTCCTTAATTAGAATTAAGTGTTTGAAAATTTGAATAAATTTCGATAAAATGAATAATTTTTATTTCAAGCAAGCACGATTAGTTCTAATAAATTAATAAATACAGATGTTTGTTTGTATGTTTATGGCAGTGTGAAATATGGGTGATCTGCTAAGGGGAAATGTCTCCCCTTAATAATAAATAATAATAATTATTATTATTATAAAGCTAGATCGATAAATAACTAGCCAAAAACAAGAAAAAATTAGCTGGAACATGACTGGTAATTTATTGAGCCACCCTTATATCTTTATTATTATTAATATTTTTGTATATCATTATTTTACTTGCTTATGTCAGGAGTGTAAAGATAAACTATGAAATTTACATTAAATAAACTCGCTTATTTAATTAAGTCATCATAAAATAATTTTCTGCATAGTTCTTGTTGTATTTATATATATTGCATTATTAGCAAATTAATGAAAATTTACTTCAATAAAAGATTCTACATTCTTACAACTAAAACTGTGATGCCACATATGGTTTTATATAAGGTTGCATAAAATGCAGGGCTGTGGAGTCGCGTAAAAATCTACCGACTCCAACTCCGACTCTTCCTTACCATCCGACTCCGACTCAGGCTAAAACACCAAAACTCCACAACTCCGACTCCACAGCCCTGATAAAATCTTTTATGCATTGTTACTACAAAATATTTAAAATATGCATTTATATAATCATTTTGGTTTAATTAATGCACTTTTAACAGTGGTGAAATTCAAATAATGCTGATGTTAGTGGCCTGTTAACGAGCATTAAATTAGCCTTATTTCAATTTTGCCACCATTAAAGGTGCATTAAGCAAGTTAACCAGTGGATAGATTACTCTTGTTGTAACAGTTTTAATTGAAATTTAAATAACAATTGAGTAAATTTAGATGTTTGTATGGCTAAATTTTCATTTAATGTTCTTATATAATTTTGATACATTTAATATGTCTTATAGAAAAATTAATGCTTTTTTAAAGCAGTTCAAGTTTTGCTTTTTTATTGTTAATGGTTTGAAGAGAAAATTTCTCTTTTTGTTGTAATGAATAACTTCAAGTCAATCATTTATAACATTAAGTTTCAAGTAACAAGGCCATAGGAACGGGTCTGGCCAGTCCAGCCATGGCTCGACCACTTTTTTCTGCCAATGTTACAAAATACAGTTCTAATTTCAAATCATACCAATAGAATTTCCATAAGGGGGAAAAGGAAAGGTTTGCTTCCACTCTTAATCTTGACAACCATTTTCTTCTTTTGGCCAGACCACTTTTTCCCTGTCCTATGCCCATTAGTGTTATTATTATTATTATTATGCATAAAATAAAAACTGATCAATAATAACACAAAAGATAAATATACTTTTTATTAAAAATAAAGAAATCAAAATAAGAGAAATACAAAATCAATCGAATGTCTTAATTTATCTTGTTGACATAATGTGCTTTGGACACTGTAGACATGTAGAGTAAGAAATAGATAGAATTGAAGACATTGCTGAAAATTTGATGATTAGTGATTATTTTTATTGGACTACAGGCATGAAATTTATGTGATATAGTCCAATAACAATCTGGCAATAATATGGCTAAATAATATTATAGTTATACATTAATAATCAAACAATAAAGCCAGATTCTTATATATTGGGTTTGATTTCATCAGCAAGAAAATTATACCGAGTAAGATTAGGACCACCGTTGCAGACTCAAAGTTGTCTATTTAAAGTTTTAAAGTTTTCTTTTCTATTTGTTGGAATTTTTTCATCAATCAATAAAGAAAAAAATTTATAACTTCTTTCTTTTCTGTCAAGATAACTTTCTATTTTCTAAGAAATGAATAATGGACTTTCACAACCAAAAGCAATATAATAGATTTTTGCTAAAAAATAATTTGATATTTTCTTTTACTTTTATTAAAGAATGGAATTGTGGCAGCATCTTATGCCACAATTCCATTCTTTGTCTTTTAATATTCCAGTTCTTAAATTTCACTTCTGGTAGTCAATTTTTCTTTTCAAAAACTTTTTGCATACATGTTCTTTAAGAATTATGTGACCTGGTTTATAGACTTCTACACTTCTCGTGCAGAAAGAATATTTGCATACAAATATATTTTTGTTTTAAATAGCACCAATTCTAGCACAGTAGGATTGGTATTGACCTAAATCATTTTCAAGATTTAAGTATATACTCCTTAGTATAACTTGAATATTTGAAATGCATTTCTCATCATAAAGTTTATTTATTCTGCCATAAATTTAGAAAACTCATTATCTTCTGCTTTCAAAAAATGTAATAATAATATTCCTTTGTTCTATTTAGCAGAAAATTAATATTCTTAAAAGACATTTTAAAATAAAAATTGAGTTTACTTGTGACTTTGTTTTGAAAGGCCATAGCAAGTATGTCCAAAGTTAAAGTGAGAGGACACTCAGCTTATTCTTAATTGTGCAAAGTGTAAGTTTGTGTATTTATCATATTTATTTTAATAAACAATGCAGCTGCAAGACAAAAAAAGTTATAGACAGTGCACTATAAGCATGCTGTGTATTGGAGAGGAAGATTTTTCAGGTTACAATAATTCTTTTCAGCGTTGTCATTTTTACCTTACGTTAAAAATAAAATGTGAGTTTTTAGTGTTTTTTGTTCAAATAAAAGTGAAAACCTGCTGGATTTATTCCACTAACAGTTGCATCCAATAAGCAGACAAGAGAAATAGGAGTTTCGTTTCCCTTAGTGACTGCACTGTAATAATAGTTATAGACAACATGCTGTTTATTATAATAAATATGATATAAATAGGCATATGCATACATACCCTGTTAATAACACTTTTATTAGAAAATATGCCTATGGGCCATATTATAACTTTTGCAAATTTCTTCGTATTAAATGAATCATCTCAAAAATATTTTGCATTATTTATACTTTAAGAAATGTGATTATATTCATTTAGGAAGAAAATAATCTGGCATTAAACTTGTATTTATGTTATGCAAATGATTACTGGATTATATGGCAATCATTTGGCATTAATCTTAAAGATCAGGTTAAGCTATGAAATGAAAAATATCTTATTTCTTTTAATGAGTTGAACATGTCATTAAAGAAAAACATGAACTAAAATCATTAGGAATCAATAAAATAACTAAATAAAATTAACAGAAATGTATGATTTACTTAAATTATTCAAATAATATATCACACTCCTTAAATATTACATTTCACATTTAAAAAAATAATTTTATATTTTCGTCTTCATATACTTAATTAAATAGAATTGTAGAGAGAAAAGCGAGTGCATTTGAATAGTTTGATGTTTTATAAAAATAATTAATAATTTAGTAGTATTCCCTAAATTAAATTACTCTTAATTATTTACCAAACGATAGTGAAATCTATTAAAATAATTTACAAATAAATTATTATTATTCATAGATTATTAGATTTTTGAAATATGAATCAGTAGTAAATTTTAAAATAAATTATTTTTTTTATATCCATTGATTACTAGATTTTTTTTGTTTTTAGCACTTTTACCTATTGAAACTTAGTAATTCTTGTACTAGTAAGTTTCACTTTTCAAAATTAATTCAATCTGATCAGTAATTACCCTTTTAAATACAGCCAGGCAGTTGTAATTTTATATCGGTTAATTTCCAATTTCTCTATGTCTCGTTTTTGAACCACCGGTATAGTGCCTACCAGAGTAAAAAAACCGTGCACATAGAATGCACATTGTAGGGTGTAAGGGTAATAAAAATATTTAGAGGGAGACCTCAAAATTGAATTGCATCTGAGATCTCTCAAGTCCTAAATCTGCCACTGGTTAGAACTATGCAACTGATTGGCCTTGCATGATTATTTGACACTAACCTATAACATATTGAATTGTTCAAATTAATTGCTTTTGCTACAGATTACTTAATGTAAATTAGTTATCAAATTACATTCATTATGAGATCTTCTTTTTTAATTATTATTATTTATACTAATCCAAACTCTCACCATAATTAATCATGCTTTTATGCTATAATTAATAATTAGAAACTAAGTAGAGGTAGATGTTAAGTGCCAGCTCTTATCTAGATTAATAATTACGGCAAGACTTTGGATTAGTATCAAGGCATCAGTTTTGGGATGTTTATATATATATATTATTTAATTTTAAATCAACTTTGAAATATATAATCATAAATACTATATAACTGCAAGTTACATTTTAGCTTCTGTCTTTATTTTTAAAAAGTTTATGAAAGAATGCAATTTCTTCAAGAGAATATAATGTCATCAAGCATTGTCATGTGAAAATAATAGAAAGTGGATCATTAGAATGCATTCTAATGTTTCTATAGCAAAAATAAAAAATAAAAAAAAAACATAACACCTTAATTTGCTCAGAAAATTTAATGAAAAAGCAAATGTTTTCAGCCAAATCTGTTGGCCATCATCAAGCTGAGATATTCGAATATAAATAAACTAGAACATAAATTTAAATACAAATAAAAATAACGAATGACATATTATTATATATATATATATGTCATTCATTATTTTTATTTAGGTTATTAGTTTGTTATGTTTTTTTGAGCTACTTATGCTGAGTGAGGGTACCTCAATTATAGCAAAAATCTATACTAATATAATAAAGAGGTAATGTTTGTATGTAAGTTTGGATGCAGCAGGTAATCTCCAAAACTACTCATCTGATTTCAAAAATTTTTTCACCAATATTTAGAATGGAACTTCAGGGTGGACATAGGCTGTATATTATTCCGTTAAACAAGACAGTTCTTTACGGTAAGCCTTCCCCGTAAGGCTTACCGTAAAGAACTCTGCTTCTATTTATACTATTTTAGATGCGGTTTTTTGCATTTTTGATTGCGTTTTAATAGGGTACGTCAACACAATGTACACAAAGAAGGGATTTTTCGATATTCCCCCCACAGGGGAGAGGGATAGGATTAAGGCTTACTGTGAAGAACTTGGCTTCTATTATACTATTTTATATGCAGGTTTTTGCGTTTTAATAGAGTACGTCATCAGAATGTACAGTAAGAAGGGATTTTTCGACATTCCCCCGCGGGGGAGAGAGACAGGATTAAGGCTTACTGTGAAAAACTTGGCTTCTATTATACTATTATTCTATTTACTTAGATGCGGGTTTTTGCATTTTTGATTGCGTTTTAATAGGGTACGTCAAGAGAATGTACACTAAGAAGAAATTTTTCGAAAAATTTTCTCCTAGGGGGAAGTGTTATACATTTATAATAGATACATTTTGAGCCACAAGAAGGCGTGGCGGGGTCTGCTAGTAATTTATAAAGTTAAAAATTCTCTATTAAATGAAATGATTGGAAGATTTATGGAGGAAAAATATTGGGTACATTCCAGTGTGCATCAAACAGCATGCCAGTAAACTACAATGGACTAAAATTTTGATTCACTGACAAGTTCATTGGTGCAGTGAGCAAAGCACATTGCACTCATCAGGCTGTCAATATGGAGCTCTGATGAAGCAATATGGCCATCTCCAATTATCTTTAACACCATTTTTACTATTACTACTACTCATCTATATTAACCCAGTTATTTTGACAAAATAAATCTGCAAATGTCAATATGGTACTGTTTCCTTCTACTTTATTAGGCTGCCAGATGCTCTGATAAAAGCTTCTTAAATCGTTCACCAATACGAGTTCTGGCTGAGACCTATGCATACTGGAATGCATTGTCACGTCAAGTGCAAAATCTTTTGGAGTTAAAGGGGTTGGAACTTTGAGATCTATGAGTCTGCTAGGGGAGGTATGTTAATTAATTCAAGGAATGCCAATGGCATTTTCAACGGATGGATGATGATATTCTGCACGACATACAAGTGATAAAGGGCTATAAAGTGAAACAACAAATAAACCAATCTGTATTTCAGTTTTACCTTGCTCTTTAAATGTAACTTACCACTCTTTACCTGTTTAAATTTTTTAACATACCTTTCTAATCCTAAATTATATTTGTTTCATAGCTTCGTCTTCACACTACAACCATGTGATAAAAATAAAATAGTATATAAACATGAAAAGGATCATTCAATGAGTGAAAATGTTAATGTAAAGAATGTTTTTCTAAAATTATAAGATGTTGAAGTTACATTTAAGCATTTTAACAAAAGGGACAAATCTGATATGAAACAGTCCACTGGTATTTGTAGAATTCCAGTAACAGATGGTTAGGTTTCAATATAGTAATGCTTTTAATTTTAATGTCATGAGGTCCTAATACAATCATATCTAGCATTGCTTGATTGAATAGTGAGCAAAGCAACAGATGTAACAAAAATATACTGTAATTAGATTGATTGTGTGATCTAACTCTATCCAAATAATACAGTAAATATCCTTTTTGGGCATAACTGCTTAACTGACAAGATGGATCCATGTAATGAATGGAAATTATTTAAATAGCCTACATACATAGAATTAAATATGCAAGATAAAATTATAATGAATTATCCTCATGTATCTCAATCCCGTCAATTTATTTTTTTTTTATTTTAAATTTGGTACTTACTATTTTTATTAATGAACAATGTTTAATTAAAAAAAAACTTTGCATTTTACTCGATAAATTTTTTTAAAATTTTCTCTTGGTCAGCAAGATCCTTTTGCACTTTTTTCCGCATGTAAAAGATTGGACAGTCACGACTAGTACATAGAATTTCTTCATGAAGACTACCTTGACAACGTTGACACTGAGTCCATAATCTAGCAAACTTTTCTTCTAAAGAGTTCAAATTTAACATTTCGGTCATGTAGATTTCTGATTCTCTTGACTGACAGTGAGGACAAACTGCACCTGCGTTATCATCCATCAAGGCACGGCATCCGATACACGTACTGCGTTTTTTTGTGAAAGCAGACAGAGCGCCGACCTTTGACGTAACCACTGTTTTAGACCTTGTATGGTCGCCTCTTAAAAGGACCGATTCAGCCCTAGTCTCTCCCAGTATTGGTTCAAAGATACGCAACAGAGGTTTTGATATTTGATTTTCTAAATAATATTGCGTATCAATAGGAATATTATTTTCTAACACATAAATTGGATCTTCTGATTTTAAATAGGCAGCGGTATTTTTACTCGCTGCAATAATTACATAAGGCACTCTATCCCCCAAGTTTGGAGCACTACCAGCTTCTCTCTTCCTCATCCTGTGTGCTAATTCGACATGGGCCTGTTTGGCAGCGTATTCTTTATCAGTTTTTGTCAATTCTTTTGTAATGACTAGCTGTGATATATCGATACGGTTACATAGTAAATCCGAGATGATCTGTTTTGCATAATCGACGGCACCATTTGGATCCCTATCGATCAAAATCTTTTGGAGACAGGTATTAATAAGATTGGCAACTAAGGGACAATTATCCCTTCGCACGGTTTCTATTCCCTTGCAGTCCATTTTGTCATAAGTGTCTGGTTTAGTAAAATATAAACCAGCGTATCTCTTTTTGCTAATTAGCAAATAAGGAAAGTATACTTTCTCAAATTCTAATTTAATTGGTTTTTCAAATTTATCGCTGACATATTCTGCTGCTTCTTTTCCGATTTTCATGGCATCGTGCACGGTTTTGACATTAAAATTGATCATTACAGAATCTGTATCGCCGTAAATTACTTTTGCATCACTGTTGTATCCATTTTCAACCCGATATTTCTCTTCAATTTCTTGTTTTGTTCTTTCAATCATCATTCGGCCAAATGCAGTTACACTCTTTGATATCTCCAGACATGGTAACTTTCCAACTTGCGCACCAGTGAATCCATAGACGGAATTTGCACTAATTTTCAATGCTAATTGTCTTCCATCCAAGACTTTCTTACGGAATGAATCAGTTTCTTTTTTTAAGTCCTCTTTAGCTTTTTTTCTAGCACTAAGAAGATTTTCCAAGATTTCTGGTAATAAACCTTTGCATACAGTCGCTTTTACAAAATAGTTTCCCGATGGGGTCTTGATATATTGATCTGGAGAAACGTTATGTTTACTCGGCACACTCATAAGGGTGGTGTAACAAAGATTGTGAGCCATCATTATTGAAGGATATAGCGAAGAGAAATCCAAAGTAGCAATTGGTGTATTATAGTAACCTTTTATTGGTTCAATAACGGTAGCTCCCGTGAAATCATCACCAGTTTCAACTTTCATCACGGGTATGATATAATCATATTCTACGGCTTTTTGCAATAATTGCGATACAACTTTTATTTGCTGACCTCTAGTTAATAAATATGATAGTGGTACTCCTGTCACTCTAGCCATTTCCATATAGTTTATAATACACATTAATTTATCTAAAAGACGTAAAGGCAACATTGCATCTTTCAGGCAGTAAACCGCCAATCGTCGCCGTGTTTGTTCATTTCCATTTTGTAGATCTGTTATGATGCTATGGTGTACATCTTCCTTTTGTTCTTGGAGAAAATGAAAGCTGACAGCATTTAATGTATATGATCTTAACTTGTAATCTCTTACTAAAACTAACAGTAAATCAAATTGGACTCTACCTTCGATATTTATTATTTTATTCTCTCGTTTTCCCATCTGCTTAGATTGGAGTACCACATTTTTCATTGTGGTTTTGTTGTCTTTGATGCGACCCAAGAATGGGAAGTTATTAATTTTTAGTTCTTTGGCACGATTAAGTAAGTAAGGTATATCGAAGTTTTGAATGTTATAGCCTGTAATTATGTCAGGATCGACCTCCCGAACAAAATTGGCCCATTTTTCTAACATCTGCGTTTCAGTATTACATGAAAGAACTTCGCATCCAACAATTGGAGCACACTTATTCAGTGTAAAAACGTTACGGATAAATGGATCCTTTTGTCCTTGCACTGTAACCATGTTAGCAATTTGAATAACGGGGTCCTTTTCTGGTTCTGGAAAAATTCCTTTTCTACTTGCACACTCAATATCAAAGCTTAAAATCCTAAAAGGAGCCACATCAGACCATTTCCCTTCTGGTTGATGAGAAACAATGTCATGATAGTCAATATCTACTTCAATTTGACATCTAGATTTTACATTAGTACTCTTTTCCTCTCGTAAATTGTACTTTCCAGCCGGTAATTCAATCCAATTGCAACCAACTATATGATTATCTACCATAAATCTAATTTGAAAATCAATATTACTTTCAAAAACACCAAAACTATAATCTTTAAAACCATCACACACTACAGCCCCAGTTTCTAACAATCTTTTAGCCGGAGCAAGTAATTTCGGCAAAGCCATGGTAATCTTAATGAAAGGACGTTTTCCCCTCGCATCATACCCATATATATTTTTCTTGAGGACAATTTCAACGGCTAAAACAGGATGTAAAACATTATTTCTGTTAGATTTCATATCCAAAAAAACGGCTTTATTTAATGCTTCTCTGAAGCGACGACAGTGAGCTTCAGAGAAACCTTCAGGAGCAGAAGTATAAAAGTACGGAAGGAAACCATGAACATAGCATAAAATGCTATTACCTTCTGTAGTGACACCATACATTCTCATGACAGGTACAGGACCTATTTGATTACCAGACATTCCGGGCATTGGTTGACCCACGAAATAATCTATGTCGATCTGTTGAAATATCAGTGGTTTATCATTTGATGAAATAAAACATTTTGGACGCGACCATTTGGCACTAGTCGAAATGTTTTCGGGACCTAGAAAATAAAGTTTTGTTCTGAATTCATTAGGCAATATATTAATTAAAATTCTAATTTTAAATTATTTAGATGCAAATGAAGTGAAATTGGGTACATTCAAGTATGCATCGGTCTTGGCCACAACAAATGCACCAGTGAATTATCTAATAAGCTTTTACTGAAAAATCTCTGGCAACCTAATAAGGTGAGGGGACAGCAACACTGCATCAGAGCTCACTGTATCCATAGCCCGACAAGTGTAGTGTGCATCAGTCACTGCGCCAATGCACTCAGTGAATATTGAAACACTTAGTACATTGCAGTTCATTAATACATTGGTTGATGCATACTGGAATGTATCCTGTGATACTGGAAGTATTCAAAAACACACCATCAATATTTAGTAAAGGTTTGCTTACTATTTTTCCTTTTTCTTCCAAAATTTTCTAATAATTTTGTAAATTTGTCTCTGTAACTAGGAAGCAATTATATTTTATACTTTTGAACAACTTAAATTGTTCAAAGATTTTAGTGTATATGGAAACATCATCATCTTTATATCCAACTGTCCTTTTTATTATTTTGATTACATTAATTCTATGTAACCATTGTTTCAGTAGTTTTTGCATATCCATTTAATAATTATTTCTCTATCACATTTCTAAGTTTTTAAAATATTTTAATCTGGATTATCCAAAATAAGGACTTGGTTGGTAAAGACTATAAATTTTTTCATTCAATTACTTTTAATATTTTCTGTATAAAATTTATCGAAAGTGCTGAAATTTTTAGTTTTTGTGACCGTTTTTTTGGACAATTTCATATTAAATTATTTTTACTTAAGCTATCCATCCACCATATTACTTTCATATAATAATTGTGATTACTTTTAAACATTAAGATTATATTTACACAGGAAACTGCTAAAAATAAATCATGATGTCACAGAAATATATCACTGGAAATCATACCAAATATATCATGAGAGGATTTAATGATTTGCAGTTAGATCTGAAAATTCCAAAATGCTATACAGTATTTACAAACTTTTGGATATTACCCATATCCATCTTCGGATTGAACATAGGAATTTTGAATTTTTTTATTTCTTTGCTAGACAGAAGCACGAAGAAAGCAATTTTGAAATTCTTTAACATGGAGATGGATGTAGGTAATATCAGCAAACATCTCTGGAAAAAAAAAAGTCATGCTCTGAAGAGTGCATTAAATTCCAATGCAAATTTAATTTGTATTATGTAAATGTAAATTAAATTCGATTGTGTCAAATAACTCGACAATTTGGGAGACAGTGAATGTCTACAAGATTCCAGATTTGTCTATATGCAAATTCTATGCTAAATCTCACAAAAAAAAAAAAATACTCTAGACCCGTCAACAGATGTCACTGTCTGTCTGCCTGTAAATATATGAGCATATGCAACGAGACAAACTTGAAGAACGTTTATATAAGTAAACCCTCATATGTATCACATTTATTTATGGGATTATTTGTCAAAGGGTTAAAGTTAATATATTGTACAGTCACCATTGTTTACGTACAACTCAAAATGATAAGAATAAAAAGAAAAGTAAAATTAGTAAGTTTAGATTTTGTTTTTATAATACATTCCCTTCAGTATTAAGTAATTGTTTAATACTTTTATGAAAGAGAAAATTATGTAATAATTATATTATCATTGTCACATCTGGAACTTCACAAAGGGCTGGCTTCTCTTTCAAAATATTTCTATGTTTCTGATGATGTTATAAACTTTAAATGGAAAAAAAACTTTATAAAATAGGCCTCTATTCCTTTTTCAGAAGTGTAGAAATTTCAATTATTTGTTGAATATTTTCCATAAAAAAATATTTTAAATATTTCAATGTATACTTTTGCATCTGGTAGATATTACAGTACTTGCTTTTGGAATTTCTGATTTAAATTTGATTGACAAACATTTTCGGTTTTTTTAAAACCATATTTTAATAATCCACCAACCGACAGCCAAATCAATTGGAAAGGAATTATGCTACAAATATTAAATTTGGAAATTATATGAACAATAAGGCAGACGTTAGCCACCATCTCTTAACGGTATTAATAACTATAATTTTAAATTTAGAATTTAGCATAGTCCAGAAGAAAAGAATCAACCCAGAGCAGGAGTGGAACCCGCAACTTCCACTTACTGTGTGGATCACCGAGCAACTCCTCCCTTCCAGACACAAATTATAATTACTACTTCTGTTAAAAGGTGGCACCTAATGTTTGCCTCATTATTTATATAATTTCCAAATTTAATATTTGTACCATAATTCTTGCCCGATTAATTCGGCCATTGGTTCATGGATTATTAACATATATCAGGTTATTGGTAGGTTTATATATAAAGCCATATTTTGATTACTCTGTAGAAATACATGCCACACATTATTCTAAATCTGTCATTCTATGCCATGTTTGACCGAAAAAACATTGACCAAATAAACAAAACATTTGTTTGATTTCATTTATCAACTCAATATCGAGTTTTCCGAACTTTTATGCATTCTTCTCATATAAAATTTTCTTGCCAGATTTTAGATTTTTGTAACTTGTTTATTTATTTACTTCAATTTTTACATGTGTAAATGACTAAAGATGCCCTAGAAACTATTTTTTAACGATGTAATAAACAACACTTCTTTCTTTGTATTATATTGTCAATGCAAACTTTAAAGGACAGTTTGGGTCAGTTCATTAAATAATTAAGCTCAAAATAACAATGCATTAAATTTACCCTTCCTTATTGCAGAGGAGCACTTATACTATTTTTTTTCTGTAATATGTTTGCAGTGATCCTTTGTGGTACAATTTTGACAGTTGGGACCTTATCAGAGCCGTAGACCACACCGGGAGCAAAAGAGTCGAAGGAACCAAGTACAGCCCCCAAAATCGGCTTACTTCCAGGTTACGCACGATCCGGATCGGCGTCACATTTAACCACATAACCTACGCGACCAAGTCGGCTTCGAGTAGCTCGCTCGACTATTCTCGGAGTAGAGTTTTAGGGCGCGCGGGGCTGGTCCGAAGCGACACAGAGGTGCCGGCCGTCACTCGCACCAAAGTGCACGCAGAGCATGGAGAATAGTCGCCCTTCGGAGGCAAATATCTGGCAAAGGGTCCGATGTATCGGTACGGTTCCATTGACTTTTTGCTCATGCAGGGCAGTCTACAACTCTGGGGATAGAAAATCCCTCATTTAGTGTTCACATCTACATTCTTTACATTTATGCATTAATTCAATGTTTACAAAATTGGCGCACGAAATGTACACGCTTACGTAAATTTGACGTCACCTCGTGGGTTTTACAACCAACGAGTCTCGAAAATGACGTCAAATTGACGTACCGATGAACTTTTTTATAAAGGGAAAGGGACTCTAATCACGTGTTTACCTTCTTCAGTCGATTCTTGCGATTCCAATTTGAATTCTTCTTCCAGTTCGTACATAAGGGCCAATTCGTCCTCGAAATTGATAGCGTCGTCATCTTGGGAGCGCGCTCGTTTATTTCGTTGGGACGAACCGAAGTTATTATCGTCTCTCGAGTTCCTTCTCTTCTCGCTCATCGCCGACGTCAACTGTTACAATGAACGATTTCCGCGCGCTATTTTCTGCCCGATGACGTCCTCGTTCGACTTCCGCCCGATTACGTCGTTCCGATTAGCCCAATTATAGCCAAAAGTTTTTTATATTCCGATATTGTATTATAATTAATTAATAATATAATTCATTTATAAATTTAATTATTATTAATACGATAATTTTTTTAAAAAAAGGAATTTTAGTAACGATGCATTTAATAAAAAAAATTTACATTACCGCTTCTAGATGGCGCTACGTATCAATACGAGAGTAATAATATCCTCGCACTTATAAGACACGTAGCGCCATCTGAAAGGACATTTTTTTTACGCCAATTTTTCTAGTTTATTGAACTTAACAAACGGAATAAAATTCTTCAGTATTTATTTATAATATTAAGACCTTATACAAAGTTAATTTTCTTATTTATTCGGCTCCACACGCTTCTTAACTATCAGTTTTTAATTTTAATTAATTAAATGAAATACATTATCTTGGTGTAATTCGAATTAACTCGTAACATCGTATAAATATGCGTAATTATAACAACAATTCATTGGTTACATTGTTTATAAATTGATAATGAAAGCACTTCAAGTATTTATTTACATTAAACTGTACCTAAATTTATTGGCCGCGTACATCCGATTATCACGTATGACGTAGCCAAATATCACGTATGAGGTATCACGTATGACGTATTCGGTTATCGTGTATTAAAGGTACGACGTAAGCGTGCCTTTATCGTGAAAAATCCCAAATAAAATACTAAAATTTCGTTGTTTAGAATTTCTTTTTTTTTTCTTTTGGAATTTATCGATCCGAGCTCCGTAATGGCATCAGCCACTTTCACGTTTCCTACGTCTTGAAATCGGTTCTGCAAGTATTATTTCCTCGTATTGTTCGAATTAATTGCATAATACATTATATAGAACGGATTTATAAGTCAAATTATTGTCGGTTCGAGCAATTTATGCTCCCGATGCTGATTCACTTCTTTCTATCTTAATTAACACTCGGAGGGGATGAATCTGCCTGAAGGATTTCAACAATTCTGCATTGACAAAGCAGTTCTGTACTGAGGAGGATTCTCTTATCACTTTGTGGTTTGGTACGAAAAGAAAAACCCAAAGAAAGACACTTAAAATAGCCTAGCGATTGTTACGAAACTACAATATTAGATTTCTAAATAACTAAATCGATTGATTAGTTAATTAACGGGAGGAACACAGTACGGCTGGATATAATTACGGAATGCACGAGTGAAAAAAAACCAGGCTCCTTAATATGTATTGGATACGAAAAATTATGGAAATCAATACCGAATTCGAAATCGGACTCATGCTAATTGCAGTTATTAAAATACTTTGTTATAGCGTTGTTTAAAGCGAATCGAGTAATAAATTATTGCACATTATCAAATTAAAAGAATAATTATTTTGAAAGCGTTTTAATAACGATTAATTGTATTATACAACTGAAATCGGAGAAGAGACAGGAGCTGTGATGCTTCGTCGTACAGTACGTCACCTTCGTATTTTATCGATTTATTTGTTGAATATTTTAAATAAATATTATATTATATTATGTAACCATATGCTCTTCTGAAAATTCAGACTCCAGGAGACAGTTTGAGAAACACTACTATTGATCATTATAGACTGGAGACGAACCGAATATAACAATAGGAAAGGGAACTTATTATTTAAATAATTAAAATGCTGTGTATTTAGTTTAATAAATGCGTTATTAAATAAAATTTTCGAATCGGGAAGAATTATTTAAAATTTGCCTAACGTCATCCGTTTAAGACGTCGTCCGACGACGTCACAATGTAAAGTACTCTTCTGTCTTTACGTCAGTGATGCTGCTTCCGGTAATACTCTCGATCGATAATTAATATGAGAACGTCACCGATCCGTAAAAAGCATCATTAATAAGTAAGGCAATATATTATTTTCTAACAATAAAATATATTATTATTATTATTAAAGTGAGGAAATTTGTTAGTGACATGCTGGCGAGGAAACAAAAAAAAAGTATCGATTGTAAATCATCGTAGGTGTGGACGTAGGTTTAAAGATTTTCTTAAAATAAATCCCGAAGAATGTGTTTGAACGTGATTATATTGATAAAAGAATATTAAGTAGGATAATTTATATCTCTGGGCTTCTATTTTTAAATCCGAAATGTCATAGTATTAATAAATATTTAGCGGTTGCACGTCATAGAAACTTGGCTTTTAATCTTCTAAAAACATTAATTTATATGTTTATGTGTTAAATAAACAGGAAACTAAACGATAATGCATTATATTCATCATCATTTGTTGTAAACGGAGGAAAGAAGGAGTTCTTTTTCACGTTTCATCCCCTTCTTCCTGCATTCATACCTATGAAAATATATACAATATAGAGTTTATTGTAAGTAAATTAAAGAAAATTAAGTTTTAAAGTTAAATTATAATTTAAAAATGAATACAATTACGACACTGGCTCAGTTGTTGCAATAACTTTTATTCTAATTAGTAGTTGCATCATTTATTACAGACCTAGCGCAAAAGTAAATAAATAAATATTTAAAAAAACTGGTAATCATTGAGATTTATTTCCTGTAAATTGTAATATAAATAAATTTTTAATAATGTTTGTTAATAATTGCTACGTTATAAACACATTGCTCAAGCAATTTCGATTCAAAACAAGTGGTCAAGTGTATATTTAGTTAATGATTTGTTTTGACGTATTTCTGCAATTATAATTATAAATTAATTGTTTAATTTTCGAAATAATCCCGTTTTTTTCATATAAAATTCTTCTCAAATATATTTAAAATCTTGTTTTAAAGAACCGATCCGCTCATAAATGACGTCAAAATGACGAGATGATGACGCCATGATTTATTACGTATGATTATCTGATTTGCTACGTCAGCATTACGTTTAAATTATTCAAATTTCAAATTGATAATTTAATTGGACTATTTTCGTGTTGTATTCTGTAAACTCGGGCCCCTTTCACAGGGCTTACCGGTAGACTTAATCACTTGTCGTCAATTCGCGCCCGAGAAAGGGGGAAATTTCTTGTTTTTTTTTCGTGTATCTAACACTTAATTAGGGCCCAGTTTACCATAAAAATAAAGTCTCGGGAGGCCTCCCCTCTCGGCAAATCTCCCACGTGTTGCGTTATCTTATTTCATCAATCAAATTCCCACTCAAAGAGGGGCCAGTGGAACCATTCGGTACGAGCTTCAACTGCTTTTGGGGGCCTTAATCAGAGAGTAAATCAGGGCCTCTCTCGCCATCCGAAAGGCCCACCGTAGCTACCAAAGCTAGACTTTGACAGTCGAAATCGGGCATTTCATTGTAATTCTGACGAAATTCGACAAGAAATCCGGATCCGGTATCGATTCAAAGTACCAGTTTACGATTTATTTTAGTGTGACGAAAGCTTTGACCAGACAAAATAATAATATTGACCCGCGCTTTGAATGTTAGAAGAATGAAAGGAATAGAAAAAAAATTTCCCTTTTCTCTCCAGTTTTCTTTATTGTAAAGACATTTCCTAATTGTTTTTCCGTTTTTTTCTGAGTCTATATGGCTTACCTTTATCATTTCCTTCACGTATAATTAGGGCCTAAGAGGTGGAAAGATGATATTTCTCTGAGACCTCCGTATCAGTAATACGGAGGCCTCATTTCTGCAGATCCCTCTCCGACGTCGGGCACTGATAGAGACCATCTTGTGGGGGCCCCACCAATGGCCAAGTGGATAAAACCAGCGAACACTGGTAGTTCGTGGTGTGTTCGGGCCTGGACGTGTTTTTTTTTTTATCATTTAGCCTGCGTGCTTGAATATCTACTATTCAAAGAGGATCACACGTTCGATTGCTATTATTATCTCTGTTTTTTTTTTTTTTTTTTTGCTCTTCTCGACGTTATTTACCACAAAAATAGAGGTTGTTTCCTTCTGAACAGATCGCCCTTCGCATACAAACGAAACAGATCTTGTGGGGGCCCGAGGGCCTTTCTATCAATGCCTGTCGATTGTTATTATTTTGAAATATGTTATACCCGTTTGTATGGCCGAACCGGATATGCCGCATGTCATTTTTCTCAATAAATCGTCTAGAAAATCTCTCGTTAATTGAATCCGATCAATATGACATAATTCATTTATTGTTTCGGTGACATTCAATAGCTCTGTCTGAATTATACGAGAATTTATTATGACATATTAAGTTATATTGCGTATAAAATTTAATATTTCATACGACATAACGTAGTGTTCCATCGCTTAACAAATCTCTCTTCCAATTTATGATGCCGAGAAAATAATAATAATAAGTCACGAAAAGAATAGATAAACAGAACTAAATTCACGTGTTTAACACACCGAGAGTTTCAATTTGCATTATTTTAATTAATCGATATTCTAGACTAAGATTAAATACATTTAACTTTTAAATTAAATTAGTTATCAACAATAATTGGGATATGAGATAAAGCAACACGTGAGCCTTAACAGATGGGTCTAATTAAAAAGGCTTCTTCGTGCCCATAGGGGCCATTGGGTATGATTAGGGCCTTAGTGCCCATAGGAGCCATTGGGTATGATTAGAAAGGCTCCTTAGTGACCTATGGAATTATTATTTTTCTAATAATACCCAAATCTTTTTCCATTGTACAATACACAAGAGATTACTAAAAGTAATCTCTTGTGAATTGCAGTGTAAAAAGATCTATTGTGTACCTACACAAGAGAAGTTCGATCTCTTTAGAAAATCCAATGATGTCGGATATCAAGAATATAGGAAATATTTAATGATTTTAAGAAACTAAATAGATAGCAATTCTTCTCTATACAGTCGATCCCCCTATAACACTGTTGATTATTCCGTTTTATATGAATTCCATGTTGTACGAGTCACATAGATTTTACAAATACGTATGCTGGGCTGTTAACAGCATACGTATTTGTAAAATCTCACAAGCTCACGTATTTGTAAAATCTAAGTGACTCGTACAACATGGAATTCATATAAAACGGAATAATCAACAGTGTTATAGGGGGGTCGACTGGTATTATGGAGTTATATTACTGTGTATTATGTACTGTGTAATATAGGCAATCATTGTTGTATACAATGTATACAGGATATAAAGAATGGACTAAATTAATAGGACAGTTATACTAGGCCTGATAATAAAATTCCTTTACAAATATCTACCTTATTACAGTAGTTCTATGCTTACAGAAGTAATAAGGTATTAACCTACATAGTGAACACAGGTAATTGTAGTGTGTTAGACAGGTAAGTCTTTACCCTATATAGCGAATATAACGTGCGTAAAGAAATGTAATCAACGTGGAACTAATGATTGGTGTACAAGTTTACGAATAGGATTTAACCCATGTTTATTTACAGTACTTTAGAGGACTTAAACTAAAGCATTGTATTCTTAATATTCATGTGATGAGACAATTATTGATTTTCAGTACAATACAAAATAAACGGAAGTTATTAACATTTTTATTAGGTTGTGCCACACCCTGTCTCATCTTTCCGTCGCGGAATTTGATCACGTGGGGCGTCTTACACCCCCAAAATTAAAAAAAAAAAATTCTTTCCAACGTTTCTAATTGTGCGAAACTGAAACTTTATCCTCACTTCGAATGCAGCATTTGGCACTTATTCGCTATTCAATCGCATTACGTCAGTGCCACTTCCCATTTATAACAGAAGAATAGTGTATTGTGATGTATTGTGACGTGGCGTGATGAGAATATCGAGTTTTTAAACGTCTACGGTTAAAAATTAGTAATGTAAATGCTCTAAATGGGTTATTTTGACCCACTAGTGGAGTTTACCGTCACGTTTGTACGGCCAGTTTCTCTTATGAAGTGGTACCCCCTTCGACAAATGTTCTTTTTGAGTATAAAACATGAGCAATTTTCTTTATTTTTTTAAAGGGTTTCCTGTATGCCATAGGAGGAAACAATGGACCAAATTCATTATCCTCGTGTGAAAAATACGACCCTCATCTCAACAAGTGGATACAAATCTCTCAGATGAGACAAAGTAGGGCGGGTGCAGGTGCTGCGGTCCTCGATGGATTCCTCTACGTTGTAGGTGAGTGTGGATTACACGGCATTTCTAGGAAAGTAGTTTCAAGGTTTTTGGGGGTGTTTTTTTTTCTTTTTTGCTCTTGGCTTAGTTTCCACGAATACACCTGTCACTTGCCCAAAATTAAATATACTACCTGATGCGTACGAGTGATTTGCTATTTTAAATGGTGGAAATGTGCCAAATTGAAGACAGATTTAACTTTAACACAATGATATATTGGAAGAGTGGAATAATATTAAATTCCTGTCTGATTCCTTCTCTACACGAGCGTAAATAAATCAGCCCTTAACGAAACTACAAAGTGAACGTTTAAGTAATCTTTTTTTTTAATTTTAAGGGACTAAAAAATGGGCTAAAAATTTGGCTTAGTGTGAAGGGTGTTACGACGCTCGAGTAGTGTGAATTATTATTATTATTGGGCTACAGTTTCGAAATTGTAGATCCGATTCCCACTTGTCTGGCTGTCTGCCCGCCCTTCCTTCGTTAAACGGATGAAAATCGAGACCGGATTTTCATCTGTTAACCGGAAGCCACGTGATTTTTTTTTAAGTTAAAATATGAGGCCCGGCATTGTGACTTGTTACAATAGATAATTACCACTTAAATCTTTAATTTCGTATAGAAAATGGCGTCTTTCTCGCCGCCATTTTTGCAAATTTAGACTAAAATTGGCTCCGTTTGCTTCTTATTTTTAAAGTTAATCATTTAAAAGATTAGTGTACTGTCTGGTAAACGTAATAAGTAATTCATTATTCTCTATTCAAGGTGGATTCGATAACAACATTCCATTGAATTCCGTCGAAAGATACGACCCCGAGACAAACACGTGGACAAATCTCAGTTCCATGACAACGTGCAGAGGTGGCGTGGGGGTGGCATCGTTAGGAGGGCATATTTTTGCTGTAGGAGGCCACAACGGTAGCAGTTATCTGGACAGCGTGGAGATGTACGATCCTCTACAAGACAGGTCAGAAATTAAATTTGTACAGAACTTCACAAGTTATATTCCCTATTGATTTCTTTTTATTTCTTTTATCGTAACAGATGGGAAACAATGGCTAAAATAGGGATAGGTAGAGCCGGAGCCGGTGTTGCCTGGTGTCCATGCTCACCGGAAAATCTGTATAATTTGAATAGAAACATGAACGAAAATCAAATCCCTACTTGATTTACGTCCCGTTCTTCTTCCTCCCTCCGTAATTAAGTAAATAAATAAAGCATTCTAGTCGTGTTGGAAACGTGGAAAGCTCGTACAGATATTTCACCCCTTAAATTTTTATTTGTTTCTTTTGTTTTTCAAACACTAAATGACGTGTATTTATGAAGAAATTTAATATAGGGAATAGAGAAAATATACGTGCCAGGTGACTAAATTACTCGAAAGATGTGTGATGAAGGCATTTAAAGAAATTAGAATATCTTCTATTAAACTGTGATCGAGTGATTGTAAATATGTTGTAATGTAATTTTACATCTTTCTAGTACAAAATACTTTAGCTGTGTCTAGTTATAAGCATCCACATCATAGAAAACAATGTAGAAACCTTCGTTTTCTTTAAGAATTTCCATTGTTAACCACCATTTTTTTCTTACCAAAGAAACTAAATTACTGCTCAACAGTACACTTATGTGATTATTATTATTATTATTATTATACGATTTTTAACGTGTAATTAATGTATTTAAATTAGTTATTTGCTACAATTAATAGTCTATATATATCTATATAATGTTAATTAAAATAAGATTTTTATATAGAATTATTATTACAAAGAAATATATTTTTTTCTCGTAATTATATTTTTTAAATTAACCGAATTATAATTGGAAAAAAAAGAAATTTACCTTGTAATCGTCTTTCTGTGGTTGGAAATAAATAAAATTTTTTGTTTTTTCCGACTTATTTTTAGCGTTTTTTACAGATATTCCTACGAATTATAGGGAGAAAAAAGGGAATTTTCAGTTTAAATAGGGATTTTAATAGGGAAGCATGTTATCGTGTGGGTCCAATCTTTTATGAGAAAGTATTTCCTCAAAGAAAAACGTCTGAAGTCGATACAGTACACGGGGGCCCACTAATTCAAATTTGCCCGGGCCCCATAAAGCTATAACGTGCAATTGGCGTAACTACAACTAAGTTTAATAGGAGAAGAACACGTCCCCTGTACGGAGTTAGACTTGTTGTGGCTCTGATCTATGTCAAATAACACGCTCGAATAATACGTAAAAATCTGAGGCCCCAGGCCCTAAAGCTATCGCTTCGATTTTACAATAAACAAGTTTAAGAAATGACGTAAAAGTTGCACCGTCTCTAGCTTTAGAAGAGCGTTATAACAGGGGTTTGGGGTTTGTATTATAATGAATACAATCAAACCCGAATACAAGGGCCCCACTAACAAATTTTAATTATGGGTGCCAGGTTCTCACGAGGAACAATTTTAAACAAATAAATGAAATTCTGTAATGTTCGGCCTTACTAGAATGGCCCTAAAGATACTAAAAGGGCCTGTTTTACTCGTACACATCGCAGGCCCACGTGGTGGCTAGGGTGGTCGTTATAATGAATTCTCAAAGGACAGAGCTAAATAATTCACTATATCGAGGGACTACTGCGTAGAAATTTACAAAAAATTAATTGACTTTAAGGTAAAAACATCCTTAAAATAATGAGAATTAAAGATTGATTTATGATTTATAGAGTAATTAGTTAATAAAACGTAATTAAAATCGAACAAATTGATCGATTGAATATAAGAAAACACTTTAATTAATTAACCTTTTTAACCTTAATTAAGCGAGAAAATGGCCTGGAATAATTGAATGGCATTAAAATCATTCTAAGTTATTAATTTATTACTAAAAATTTAAGGAAAATATACATTAAGTCGATTTAATTGTATGGTTTATGTATAAACAAATTACCAATGTTTATAATTCTCAATTATTTAATTAATTAATATATTTATTATTTAAGTAATCGTCTAATTATTTCTATCGAGTAAATTGTAATTAATTCGCACGATTAGATGACGTTAATGCATTTTAAAATTTTGCAGGGAGGTTTGTAGCTATTATTAAATTTTGGTGGTCACGTGTCATATTTCGAGTGTGGTTTTCGGACTTTTATTCGTTATTTTTCTTTATAAAACCCATCCCTACCTCAAAAATTAAGCTTTTATAATAATTAAGAATATAAAAAGTTTTAAAATAAAATAACAGATGGCGTTACATACAATTTAACTCTCCGGGAAATTTACGCAACTCATTGATGAATATTTTTTTTTGTTTTTATTCGCCTACTTTGAAGCTTAATAACTCGCGTGCCTTTTGTCGAAATTTTCTGAAATTTTGCAGGGAGGTTTATGTGTTAGGGAAGAACTTACGTGGAAATTTTCAGAAAAATTGCACCGCTGGTTCGGGAGTTATGGCCTCACCCACTTAATATCTCCCGAACCGATTTTATAAAGATAAATGGTGGCAATTATTAGGGATGAAAACGAATAAGGAATAACATTGCCAGCTTTCTATAACTTGAATAGTGTATTTTTAGCTGAATTACGCAATTTTCAAGGTTATTTTTTTATTATTATTATTTCCATCTCGTTCAGTATTAATAATCTATTTTTTCCTCCTGTCTATCACGCTGTCATTTCTCTATTGAAAATCACACTGAGCTATGCAAATGTGTGTGAATATTAGTGCTGAATAACTAGAGAATATCTCAATATATTAAAAAAGTAAAATTCTAAATGCTAGATGAGGGGACCACTGGACCGCTGGTCTTGGGTTCGCTCCTGATTAATGGCCAGGTTCTCCTCACGTGTCTAACGTCTAAACAGATGCCTATTTTTCTTCCGGGAGGCACCCCACCTCCTCTTGGTACGTTGCCCTATCTCATCAATCCAAATAAATTCCTGCCAAATGGTTCTGGTGGTTCCGTCTCACGAGGGGACCACTGGAGCCATTTGACACGAGCCTGATATTTAGGAAAGTTTGAAATGTTATGGAGAATCTAAATATCAAAAATAAGTCAGGGGCCTCTCTCTTGCCACCCGAAGGGCCCTATTGTGTGCTGTATATATTGTGTTGCGCGTGTTGTGTTATATTTATACTGTGTGTATTGTTTGTTTGCTTGATTGTGTGCACGATTTTGCATCGCAGATATATTTACAAGATAAATAATAGAATATTAACAAAACATTCACGAAAATACTTAAAAATAGTAATTATTTCCCAGCGTTAGTATCAACAAACAGCCTACGTAACACGTGAGTGTGGGGGGGGGCGGAGACACAAGACTTCATTTGTTAGATTTGCTGATTATAATCATTGTTTTCAGCATTTACATTCCTATTCTTGTGTTCGAAATCAACATGGCGGGAGGTGTTTTACGGAATTGCCACTTACCAAATTCTAAATTAAGGAAAGTTTATGCAATTCAACATTTCTCTTTTCTGTTCACTCGGCCAATTATTCTTATCAGATCCTAAAATGAATGATGAAATTCTCTTCGAATAAATAAGAGAAAACCATTGTTGATGACACCGGTCTCGACTCAATGGGCGATCTTCCAAGAGTGGGGTGCCATCGAAAAGATTTTCTATGAGAAACTGGCCATCATTTACGGTAAATAAAGGCTGCACATCGATGAGGCTCAACATTTTGTATCTCATCAACGTGTTCTTCAACGTTTTAAATATTTTAAAACAAGTTTAAATGCTTCCTATAATCACATCAGCATCAGAATTGATGAGAAATGGGGAACACCTCCTTTAATTATTTAATGGGTGAACGTTATATTTCATAGAAGATGACTAAAAATTATATCGATAAGAATAAGATGGATGATTGCACATGATACAAGAAATATCACAGACCTCGTGACTCACAGAAACAGTTAAAATAAGATGCGTGACTCATAGAAACACGTCGTGTTTTAACAATGTATCACGTTACAGAATTTAATTCATTCATTACAAAATATTTATTTATATATTTTGTATTATTTTATACACTTTATAAACAAATAACTCCCATACAAACTCTCGTGTCTACATAAAAGGAGGCCCCTTCCACTCTACTAAATAATAATACGAGGTAAAACGTGAGTCTATTCCGTCTCGTAACACGAGGCCCTATGCTATAACCTGGCAGCTCATATATTCAAATATGTATATATAAACAATTGTAGATCATACACTGACGAGGCCCTAATCTATACCTTGCTTTGCTGAATATTTCTTAATTAATTTAACTAGTTTTTTTCGTATAAAAATAAGGAAGAATTTCATTTTCGTTCGCTTGTAAGTTTTATTTATTGATCTTTTAATGGAAAATATTTTTGTTTAGAAACGTAATCAAAACATATAAATATTAAATAACATTTAATATTTTAAAAACATACTTTTTTTCCATTTATATCTTGTGTAAAAGCTCAGAAAACGTCACCCGAGAACACATCACCCCTTTGATGTATCGTAAGTCTCTGTTCAGGAAGTCTCTATTACTCCATCCCCCTCTTCTTTATCTTTACGATTACTGAATAGAATATCAATCAGAGGGTGGAATAAATATAATTCGCCGCATGCACTTGTGTTTGCCCTCACGAATGTTATAAATGAGCTGGATAAGCAATTTTGATGTGTGATGGTGGTTGGGAATGGCCAAGGAATTCCTAAAATGATTACAGTGAAGTCAGGGAGAGTCAAATCACGTAGCAGAAGAGAGATGTAATAAAAAATGATCCTGAAATTCGAATTATCAGTCAAAAATAATAATAGACAGAAGGATTTAGCCGTATTTTTGGGTAGATTAGGTGGCAAGCTACCCTGCTTATCGGTTCCTATAGACACTGCTAAGCTGAGGTTGTAACATTACCGGAGAGTAAGCCTCTTGTTACGAAGTTATAGCGTAGGGCCTCGTGTTACGAGGTAGCACAAGGCCTCCAGCTACGAGTTTATAACATACATCTTCGTATTGTGAAGACTAATAAGTTTCGTGCTACGACGCTGTATGGCTTCGTACTACGAGGTAGAATTATTTCTGCAGTATATACTGTATAATATGTGTAACCGCTTTCATCACGTATACATAGGAAGGCCCTTTTCACGTAACGAAAAGCTGGTATCACAGTTTAACATCTGGAATCCTAACTAGTAGTGTATGCCTAGTATTGGAACATCCACAATCATATACTGTATTTGTTTATGTGTGTGTGGATCCCTAAAAGCGCGAAGTCCCAGGCAAATTAAAGATGCGAGAGATTAAAATATTTTAATTGTTTTAAGGCAAAGAGTATTACTGTATTGTTTATCCCCTTGTCTTTCACAGATGTAAGATTTAACGGCCGCCATTTTGTTTAAAAATAATAGTTTTCCCAGCTCGTTTTTTCATATATAGAACACAAACACTTCAACTGCACTTCAGTAGAACAAATATTGGACGAGGGCCCGAATTAGAACGTGCAAACCTAAATTTAGGTGTAGATATTGTGTCTAGCACCCTAATTTGCATAATAATTTAATGGATTTTTCAATTGTCGTTTGTTGAAGTTACTTGGGGGAGGAAGACCTTCAAAATTATTGCAAAGTCATACAATTAACACTTAAGAGATCAAACTGGAGGACCCGGATTCGAACCCCGGGTCCACCTCTTTAAGCCTCAAAATATCTCTTCTATTGAAATATATTTGAATGGGGCCTCAAAACACCGCTAATTTACT